TTAGAAAAACATAGACATGGTTTGGTGGCACATAAATAATGATACTTCAAATTTGAAGCACAAGTTATTTTGAATTGTCTGAAAAATTTTCAATGTGATGATGATATAATTTTATGAAAAATAAATAAGAAGCTAAAAATTTCCATCATTTGTGATACAAAGAGAACAAATTCATTTTATAGTAAAGCCACAGTGTAAAATCTTAGGGAGGGAGAAATGCCTTCCTGAAAAGAATCAGGGTATGTTGGTTGATTGATGCCAAATCTGAATCAACACCAAAAATGATTAAGAAAGACCTAAAACACATTTATTTTGACCAATATAAAGATGAAATGGATTTCAAAGTTATGCCATTTTTATCCACAACTCAATTGCAATATTAGATTATTTGATATGATCTTGTAGATACACTGGCACAAGATAAAAATGAGAAGCCCCAAGGTACAGTTGCCAAATTTTGGGTGTGGCTTGGTATCATCAATCCAATGATAATGTTCCAGACTAGGGATAATCCTAATTTCCAGGATGAGATTATGGCAACTTCAAAGTTTAATTCTGTTTGAACTAGATTTCAAATTATATTAAATTTTGATTAAAAAAGAAAACATGGCCAGCCATGGTGGCTCATGCCTGTAACCTCAGCACTTCAGGAGGCCGAGGCGGGAGGACCACTTGAGCTCAGCAGTTCGAGACCAGGCTGGACAACATGGCGAAACCCCATCTCTACAAACAATACAAAAATTAGCCAGGCATGGTGGTGCACATCTGTAGTCCCAGATACTCGGATGCTAAGGTGGGAGGACTGCCTGAGCCTGGGAGGCAGAGGTTGCAGTGAGCTGACGTCATGCCACTGCACTCCAGCCTGGTTGACACAGTGAGACCCTGTCTCAAAAAACAGATAAATAAATAAATGAAAAAAAATTCATATTTTAACCAAGACTAAAAAAATTACTTGTACTTTTAATTTATAAATATATATGTTCATCTATATGAGTTTCATTTATTTATTATTTTTAAAATTTGTTTGGCCGGGCACAGTGGCTGATGCCTGGAATCCCAGCACTTTGGGAGGCCAAGGCCAGCGGATCACCTAAGGTCAGGAGTTTGAGACCAGCCTGGCCAACATAGTGAAACCCTCTCTCTATTAAAAATACAAAAATTAGCCGGGCATGGTAGCACACGCCTGTAATCCCAGTTACTTTGGAGGTTGAGACAGGAGAATTGCTTGAACCCGGGAGGCGGAGGTTGCAGTGAGCTGAGATGGCACCACTGCACTCTAGTCCGGGTGACAGAGCGAGACTCTGTCTCAAAAACAAACAAACAAACAAAGGCCGGGCACGGTGGCTCATGCCTGTAGTACCAGCACTTTGGGGGGCCAAGGCAGGCATATCACCAGAGGTCAGGAGTTCGAGATCAGCCTGGGTAACAGGGTGAAACACTGTCTCTACTAAATATACAAAATTAGCACCACACACCTGTAATTCCTATTACTTGGGAGACTGAGGCAGGAGAACTGCTTGAACCTGGGAGGTGGAGGCTGCAGTAAGCCAGGATTTTGCCACTGCACTCCAAGCCTGGGTGACAGAGTGAGACTCGGTCTCAAAAAAAAAAAAAGTTTACTTTTTTATTTTTTGAGGCAGGGTCTTGCTCTGTCACCCAGGCTGGAGTGCAGTGGTGTGATCTTGCCTCACTGCAACTTTCAACTCCTGGACTCAGGCGATCCCCCCACCTCAGCCTCTCAAGTAACTGGGACTATAGGGGCTCACCACTACTCTTGGCTAATTTTTGCATTTTTTTGTAGAAAGAGGGTTTTGAAGTGTTGCCTAGGCTGGTCTTGAAGTCTTGGGCTCAAGCAATCTGCCTGCCTCAGCATCCCAAAGTGTTGGGATTACAGGCATCAGCCACTGCACCTGACCTATTTAAAATTTTTTTTGAGACAAGGTCCCACTCTGTCAACCAGGCCGGAGTGCAGTGGCGTGATCACAGCTCACTGCAGCCTTGACATTCTGGGCTCAATAGATCCTCCCACTTTAGCCTCCAGAGTAGCTGGGGCTACAGTCATCTGCCACTATGCCCAGCTAATTTTTCAATTTTTGTAGAGACAGGTCTCACTATGTTGCCCAGGCTGGTCTCAAACTCCTGAGCTCAAGCGATCCTCTCGCCTTGGCCTCCCAAAGTGCAGGGATTACAGGCATGAGCCATAGCACCCAGCCTCAGTGAATTTTAAATTACCTTAGTATTATCCTACATTTTTCTGGAAATAGCCCACATAAAAGTTAGTTTGAATCACTTAAGAAATTTCAGTCAGATGTTTTCAGAGAAATATTCTTTCTTGGTTTTCCACTGTTTATATTTGGTAGCAACAAAAGACTTCACTACTGCAGTGGTGCAAAGAAGTAGGCACTACAGTTTTTATCCAACTACACAGAAAGTATAGATTTAAAGCCACCTATTCAAACTGGTACATTTGCCCATACACATGGATGATTCTCTGATTTTTTTGGAAGATTATGCACTACTAAATTTTAGTAATAGTGATTTCCCTTGCCTATTATATATTCAGTCTGTTTCCACATTAAGATAGTGTAGGCAGGGGGAAGGGATGGCATTGGGAGTTATACCTGATGTAAATGACGAGTTGATGGGTGCAGCACACCAACATGGCACATGTATACATATGTAACAAACTTGCACATTGTGCACATGTACCCTAGAACTTAAAGTATATTAAAAAAAAAAAGATAGTGTAGGCCAAATTCTTTCATTCCTTCACCACATATTAAGTATACAACAGTGTGTGAAGCTGCTCTGTAAGAGAAACATAAAATATAAATCTTACACTCAAGGTGCATATTCTGTAATGTGGATTATAAAATAGAAATCCAAATAATTAATACATTGCCAAGATGTCCAGATAAAATGTAAGAGGAATAGAAGAGACAGATTTCTTCTTCTGGGGTCAAAGGAGTAAGAGCCAACAGAGGTAGGCTCTGGAAGAGAAACAGGACTTAGATATGCTGAGATTAGGGAGGAATCAAAGTGCAGGGTCTAATGTGGGAAAAAGAGAAATAGCTCTGTTTGTCTAGAACTTAAGTGTACACAGAGAAGTGTGCGTGTAAAAAGTCTGGACAGAGAGATCTGAATCCTGTTCATGAGAAGTGAAGAATAACATGCTATAAAGTTGTCAATATTAAAGACATATCAATATTTTTAGGAAAGCAAACCCAAGGTAAAAACTGTGTAAATTAATGCAATAATAGTTAAAAAAAAATCTTTTGCCTTATTTTCCTTCAACAGTCTAAACAACTGTGGGGTGAATACACTGCTACTTGCCTCTACAGACACCTTCTAGAGGGCTCTAGGACCCAAGTAACAACATTATACAGAGAGGATTAACATTGTTTATATGTCAGGGAATTCCTATACTGCTTGTGTTCATATGAGATAAAAAAAAGTCAACCCAAACAAGAAAATAAGTTTTAGACTGGTTTAATTCTATGTATCAAAGAGATATGCTCAATTCCAATGAATCAAGTGCCAATCATTCAATGGATGCAAAGAGTTGCTATTAGGTTGAACCATATAAAACTGGCAGTATTGGACTATATTTGACATATAAAAACAACAGTTGCATGCGCTTCAATCTAAGAGCAATAACTAAACTGACTATGACTTAATTACCATTTTGAGTCAACTTTCACCTTTGATCCTACACTGGTTGAGGGAAAGATGAACAAGAGATTTATTAAGTGTGACCAAGTGCTGCTTGCTTGCTGTGTCATGCTCTAGTTTATAGGCCAGAAAAAAGCTAGACAGAAAGAGAAAGCTGAAAAAATAAATGGAACAGAAGAGGAGGCACAACAATAAAAAGAACACAAAGAGAAAACAAGAGATCATAGGGCAGTTGTTCCCTTCAAAAGAAAGGATTTTTTAAAATTGTTGTTTTTAAGATTTTATCACTGTGAATATGGAGAACAGATGTAATTTCTTTTCACATATGCAAATAAATATGCCAGTTACACAGTTAAAACACTCACTAACATAATAGAGTAGATTAATATTTAATGAATGCTTAATATGTGGTTATTAGAAATTTTATATATGTTTTCATTAAGTATGAATAATAACGCACAGTTGGTGGTTTCACACCCATTTCTTAAAGGTAAGATTACTGCTCTCATTCAGGGCTATAGAAACTAATAAGGAGTAAGATTTTTTTTTTGAGATGGAATCTCGCTGTCGCCCAGGCTGGAGTGCAGTGGCACAATCTTGGCTCACTGCAGCCTCCACCTCCCAGGTTCAAGCCATTCGCCTGCCTCAGCCTCCCAAGTAGCTGCGACTACAGGAGCGTGTTACCATGCCCGGCTAATTTTTTGTATTTTTAGTAGAGATGGGGTTTCACTGTATTAGCCTGGACGGTCTTGATCTCCCAACCTCGTGATCCGCCCACCTCGGCCTCCCAAAGTGCTGGGATTACAGGCGCCTAGCCAGAATGAGTTAAGATATGAAGCCAGTTCTGACTCCAAAGCCTGTACACTTCCTATCTCGTCCTAATATATATAATGCAACTCTACTGTCATGCAAGTAGTATTTTAAAAATTTCTGAATGCTTGTCATTTAAATTAGGAAGCCTACAATAATGTATTTCACATTGTATGATTTAAGTGTGTTATTGCTGAGCAAAGAAAATTTAGCCTAAAAAGGAATGGGGAAACATTTTATATTCTGAGAAGCACAATAATGTGCATTAGATTTCAAGCAAAAACATTTTAAAGATAATTTGAAATTCAATTCAATAAGTATTTGAGGTTTATTTTGTGATGCACTGTGAAGAAAGTTGTATAAAATTTCAGTCTCATAATTATCTGGTTAGAGACAGAGGTAAAAGTGGTGAAGATTTACCATTAATAAATGGAACTGGAAATAGGCAAATACCCACCATTTTCACATGTACAGCAGACTCTTGATTAGTCATTTCTTGGTTATCCAATCTTCTGGATTTTCCCAGGTGATGTCACAGCAAAAGAGAAAAAAAAAAAGTACACGTGACATACATAAATTTCAGGTTCTTCCTGTTATGCTAATAATATACTAAGGTGGTATTTTCGGTATGACTTATTTTGTTTTTTGAAAATGTTTATTTTATGTACAAAGAACTAACATGGTTTCTTTCATTGGGTGGATGCCCTGGATAATCCATTCAAGGAAGATCACTTAGTCCAACTCAGTGAAACCTATGTCCTTCGCGTACTGACGGAAACACTGACGGCACATATTGAGGCTGTGTTTCCGGATTAGACTTTGCTGGTTTGGGCAGATGTGACAAGAGCGAGAACCCTGGCCCAACTTCTGTGGGTGGCTCCAGTAAGGCTGCTGGTGACCCATCTTGCTTTCGGGAGTGCAATGAGGCAAAAGGCTTTGTTATGATTTAATATAGCCTATATTTGACATATAAAGCATTTATTTATTTATTTTTCTAAGAAGCTCAGCAAGGGTTTTACTCTATCCAGCATAGTTTTGGATGAAACATTTTGTATGGAGAATCTGAAGCTCTCCTACAAGAACTTATATGGTATTAAGAAAATTGAATAAACAGTGAAAATGAAGTACATATTTGCAAAGAGCACTTTATTGCAAGAATATTTTATCAACACTTTCTCTACATGTAAGGAAGTTTGTGGGAAAATTATGCATTGCTACTACTGAATCAATATAGGAATATACAGACAGAACAAAGTAAGGGAAGACATAACACAAAAGTCCAATTTTTCCTTCAATTTTCTTATATTATAATCTTTAATTTTTTTTTTTTTTTTGAGATGGAGTCTTGCTCTGTTGCTAGGCTGGAGTGCAGTGGCGTGATCTCGGCTCACTGCAACCTCTGACTCCCAGGTTCAAATGATTCTGCTGCCTCAGCCTCCCAAGTAGGTGGGATTACAGGCGCATGCTGCCATGCCTGGCTAATTTTTGCATTTTTAGTAGAGATGGGGTTTCACCACGTTGGCCAGGATGGCCTCGATCTCCTGACCTCGTGATCCGCCTGCGTCAGCCTCCCAAACTGCTGGGATATCAGGCGGGAGCCACTGCGCCTGGCCTAAATCTTTAATTTTTAAATATGATGTGACTAAGATATGAGCTGCATTTGAATTGAGCATTGTGTCTAGCACAAAATAGGTATGTGACAGTATTTATTAACTGAATGAACCTTTTAGGCTCTGGGTGAAGTTTAAAAGTATCTATTCATCAAACAAAAGGAACCAGTTTTTAAAACATCCCTCAACATTATTCTAAGGTTTTTTGTTGTTGCTGTGTTGGTAGTATAAAACTCAGGGAAAATTACTAATCTATTTTTGTTCCATAATGACTTTACTTTTACTTTATTTCAGATAAGTAAAATTTTATAATTAAAGCACTATTTAAAAATGGCAACTTAGTTGAAGGGGAGAAAATATCTGACTTTTTCTTAAACTCTAGTAATGTAAGTTGGACATTAGATCTGTGTTCTTTATAATTAAAAGGTGTTATAGCAGATACATCAAATTTTCTCAAATTCTAAAATTTGGTCCCTACCCCCTTCCATTTTAAGTCGATGAAATTACAAAATGTCTTTTTCTTCCTCTCTCGGAAAGCCTGCTAGTAAGTTGATAGTCTCATAATTGATGGCATCTTAGAATTAAGTACACATGATTTCCAAATAGTAAGATGATAACTTGCAATTTTTCACATCTGAAAAAGAATGTATCTGCATATGAGTGTGTGTATATATATCGATATAAAGATGTGTATGTGTATATCTTTATACATATATACACACACACACATATATACATACACACATACAGTATATAACTCAGAAAACATTTGATCACCACCCTCAAAATATAATGGTAGTTTGGTAATTAGTAGTCTTTAGCTTAGATAATTGTAGTGAAGTTTAAGTAGATTTTCCTTGGTCTAACTTTTTTCTTTCATAGTCATCCAGATTTCTAACAAACAAGGTATTAGAGAAGCTGCATGCAAGTCTATTTCTTCATTCATAGCAATCAAAGCCTAATTATTAAATGCTTACAGCTTTTCTTTGATGTTTAATATGTGAAAAGTGGTTTACATTTCTCAAAGAACACTATTTAAATAAAACCATCTCATTAGCTTGAAAAAAAGGAAGAGTGTGGAGACTGTGGAAAAGTACTGTAGAGTTTATAAAAATACCGCATAATCTGTGAAACATTTGAAAAACTCAAGGGCAAACAATTCACACAGTGAAGAATTAGACACATTTTAGTATCTAGGAATCTAAGATCTTTTTGTTACACATTCAGGTAGTAGAAGCCCTCTCTAGTCTCTATCTCTGAAGTATGGCTCTTTTTGGAACATACATTTTGAGTTTACAGGGGAAAAAAGTCAGTATAAGTTGGTAAAAGAATGATCATCTTTCTCATCATCTCATCAAATAAAAACAAAGAGTGATAAGAAATTTGATGGCCAACTTTAGGACCTTTTTTTTTTTTTTTGGTAAATATACCAGTAATTCATGAATACTATGCAAATTTCAACTGAAGAGCTTTCATTCTTCCCAGTCCTCACTAGCAATCTGATCAGAATTTATCTTTGTTCAAAGATAATCGCATATAAAGTGATACTGCAGTCCTTACACAAAAATTGCTCTAAGGTCTATATCATTTAAAAAGTGTAAAGACTCAGGTGTAAAATGTCAGCATTCTGGCACTATTTTAAGGAAGACACGGAAAATTAGGGCAGAGTATTTTTAAACCAATAGGCTTGTAAACCTATACCTGGTATATAAAGTTCTGGCTTACTTTGCCAATGGTCATCTGTTGCAGATGCTTCAAGAGAAGAGTTGCTGGAAAAAACACATCAAGTGTAGAAGACGTGTTCAAAAATAGAAAATACTGCCCTTGAACTATGAACTCTCTTCAAAGGAAGTTTTAACATTTTAAGTCTTCAGAGTCTTTAAGTGTGAACTGGAAAATGTGGAAACTGGAAAATAATTACTTTGTGTGCTTTTTGTATGAGATTAAGGTCTCTACTATAGCAGAGTTCTTTACAAGGAATATGTAGGACAAGGCTAAAGACTGAAGCAAGAGGTAAGAACTTCACTTAACACAAACTTGACAACTCAAAACTTTATCACGGTATTTCATTCTGACGATAGTTTACAAGTCAATTAATGAAAATTGATTGGTATGTCTACATGAAAAAAATTACCTGATTTAAAGCAAGTCTTAAAGTATCTGAATGCAAACTGATTACTTTTAAAGGTCTACTTGACTCTGTCTTACAGGAAAGTGAAAATGATTAAATTCATGAATATAGCTTTAAAAATTGTGACTGCTTTAATTGTGATACTCGCAGAAACATGTAAACTACATTGGTAAGGTAAGAATATTGTGAATGCTAAACTGTGTATTACTTACATAAGAAGAGGCATATATTACTATAATATGGACACAGTATCAGCAACAGTACCAAACATCCATGGTGAATCCATTTTTCCTATACTTTTTCAGTAACCTGTACTATTTGACTTTCTTAAGCTTGGGCTTTTTTTTTTGTTTGTTTTTTAATGTTTCTTAGGGTGATTAGCACATGCAAAATCAAACTGTAAGTTCATCTTTTCTGTATGGTTGTAATAATTTTGGGGGGCATTTAAATAATTTTCCCTAATTAGATTTTCAACTCACCGGTGGGGAAAAAGAAACACACAAGCTGCAAAGTGAAACTTTCTCGATACAGGCATAAAACAAAAATGAAACTAAATAGCAAAGAGTGGGAGGGGTAGAAGAGGATATAGGAGGAAAGAGGAAAAAACAGATTTCAAAAGCTAGTTATTTAAAAATGGGCAATTTAAACCAATTTTCCTAAATGGTAAAGCAGCTACGGAGTCAGAATTCTGTAGATATTTATGTAAATAAATAATTTTAGTGTTTAGAATTTATTCCTCTATCCTTCCCACGCTCACTGCCTCTAATATCTAACAATATTTTTTCAAGATAAGTAAACCACATACACAGCACATGGAAACTAAGTAATATATACTGACAACCCTTAAGGCACTCTGAGTTCTTCTGTCCTTGAATTTGTCCTAGAACAACAGCATAGGTGACAAGCAATACCCAGAGATGCCGGGCTTGGATGCAGGCTGCCAATAAAAACTAAGCAAACTGCTTTAAGAAACGGTCTGCAGCATGATCTAACTTCTCTGACTTAAAGGAAAAAAAACAAAACTATAAAATGTAGAGAATTAAATTATTTAAATATAACTTAGCCATAATATTCTAGGCTTTTACTATAATATAAATTTTTGAATCTTAATTTTCAATATTTAATTTGTTATAAATCTGTAATCTAACTTTTATCAATTCATAAAACATACCAGTGATAATCCCATTCTATAAAATCCTGGGTAAAGCTCACGTGCACAAAATAAAAATTGATAATCTTTATTACTACCCATAATAAATGTTTTCTAATCCTAGTAACACAAAGCTTGTGGCTGTCAGTAAAACTGAGTCACACAGCAACTGAATGAACAACAAAATTGAATCTTAGAGTGTTTCCCCTCAACCTGGAAAGAGACTTCTGAAGGTACTTTGTTTTTTCTTAACATCTACATGTAAAACAAGAAGCTCTTAAAATTAGAACATATAAAATGTAATTTCTGAGACCTAAGACTCTTCAAAGTTTTGCACATTCATTTCTTCACAAATTATAAAGAAGTTTTGCATTATACTGGATCATTCTTTTATTTCCTAAGTTTGTATTTTAAAATGCCCAAAATTTCAGTAAGATACAGAATCAAATAAGAATCACATAAAGTTAGACAAGAGAAACTCATTTACATGAACTGTACACACTTACCCTGAAGGTAACCGGACAAGGCACACCAGCAAAAGAAAATTCTTCCTGTCTGAGAAGTACTAATATAGCACAAGGTGCAAATGAGGGCGGTTCCAAAAGCCTTGACTAAGCCCTATGCAAAAACCTTGTGACGCACTGCTGCACAGTACTTTATATATGCTCTTGGTTACAGCCTCGCTAGCTCTGAGCTAGTCACCAGTCAAGCTATATAACATTATCAATTGAAGTTAGGTGATGATTAAAGAGAAGGTAAATCTGTACTATTAGAACTGGCAACTGGCTCTGGAAAGAAAAGAGGAACCTCTACACTAACACTTAAAAACATTCCCTTCCTCGTGGTTTGTCAGTGCATTTCTGATATGTGAACTTTTCTGTATATTCTATTTTAATACAAAGTTAAAAAGATTAGGTTGCTGCTGCCAGGGCTGGAGGAGGAGGATGGGGAATTATTGCTCAAAGGATAGAGTTTCAGTTTTAGCAGATGAAAAGAGCTCTGGAGTGGACAGTGGTTATGGTTGCACAGCAGTGTAGATGTACTTAATGCCACCAAATTAAATGCTTAAAAATGGTTTAAATGGTCCCGTTTATATTATGTATATTTTACCACAATTAAAAAAAAGATGAGCTCACTTAAAGTTCATAAACAAAAAGACAAGATATATGCAAATGTGGTCAAAAGACTGTGAATAGTCTTTAGCAAAGGGCAGTGGGATTTAAAGTAATTTTTATATTTTCCTACACTTTTAATGAGACCAGCCATAAAATCTGAAAATGAAAATTAACTTCTATTTTAAAAAATTTTGGGAAAAAGTTCCTTCCTGTTAGAAATAAGAGCAGTCCAACTGTCGTAAAGAGAATATTTTTATTTTTATTTTTTTAAAGAGAACTAGTCTTGCTTTTAACCTGAGTAGTAGGGTGGCAGTATGCTAATACCATGTGTCAGGACCTGATAGATA